TCTTTACAGCTCTCCAGGGTCTCAGGCCGAGGTCTTTCCCATCACCTCCTGCCTGGTCCTTTCAACTGTAGATGCTGGGGATTGAACCTGGGACCTTCTGCATGCCAAGCAGAGGCTCTACCACTGAGGCACAGCCCCTCTCCAAAATCAGTTTTTAAAAAGCTGTACATATGAATCAGCCCATCAAAGTCAGTATTGTCTACGCAAGACTGGCAGCTGCTCTCCAGGGTCTCAAGCAGAAGTCCTTCACATCCTCGTCCTACTTGGTCTTTTGTAACTGGAGATGCCGGGGATTGAACCTGGGACCTTCTGCATGCCAAGCAGAGACTCTCCCACTGAGCCACAGCCCCCTCCCACAAAGTGGGACTGCTGGAGAGAAAAGAAGAGGTAGGGGGGGCAACTCTTCCATATTTTAATATTTTTATTCTTGTCTATTACAAAAGGCTGGAAAAAGCTCAACAATAGCAATTCATTACAGCCAATAACCAAAATCTTACATATACGTACTTATACCACACTTACATACTAGTTTATTTAATGTGGAATGGAAGCTTGTTTTATTAGTTCCTATATTTTTATTCTTGTCTATTACAAAAGGCTGGAAAAAGCTCAACAATAGCAATTCATTACAGCCAATAACCAAAATCTTACATACGTTCTTATACCACACTTACATACTAGTTTATTTAATATGGAATGGAAGCTTGTTTTATTAGTTTCTATATTCATAATTCATATAGAATTCAACATTCACGTGGAGAACAGACAGGGTTCCAGCATTCCAGACAGCATTCCACAGTTAAGAAGGGTACATTTACACATCAGTCTCCAATTTTTCCCCCTCATGGATCACTGCCTTGTCATGGCGAGGGGGCTTGCGTGGTTCGATGAGGCTGTGGGCTATGCCGTGGAGGGCCACCCAAGACGGTCAGGCCACAGCAGAGAACTCAGACCAAGCGTGAGCCCCTGGAGAAGGAAATGGCAACCCACTCCAGTATTTTTGCCAAGAAAACCCCATGGACAATATCAAAAGGCTAAAAGATATGACGCCGGAAGATGACAGGAAGGCCTGGCGCGATCTGGTCCATGGGGTCGCAAAGAGTCAGACTCGACTGTGCGACTGAACAACAACAACAACTCCAATTTTGATATATTTGTTTGCTTCACTATGTTTCCCCCCTGGAATTAAACCCAAACAAATGGTGACCATATAAACTAAGCTTGTTATTCCTGTTTGGTCCTTGCATCTGTTAAGCATCTTCATTATGCTTTATGCTAATTTTCTGCTCACCCTCTGCCTCTACGTATGGGCTAGTAACTTCCATTTCAGTGTATCTGAAGACGTGTGTGTGTGCACACGAAAGCTCATACCTTGAACAAAATCTTATTGCTCTTAAAGGTCCCACAACTCTAATTTTGTTCAGGAGTAACGGAAGTCCAACTAGAATATCTCCAAGATACAGCCACGTTGAAGAGTAACTTGTAAATCTATGCAGGGCTATTTTTGGGCAGGAACGCACAGGAACAGAGTTCCGGCTGGCTTCCACGTTGGCCACGCCCATCAGGGACTCATTAGCATAACAGGCCACACCCAACAGCAGAAACTCATTAGGATTGGCTACATTAGGGGTGTGTGGTCTAACATGCAAAGGAGTTCCTGCTTCAAAAAAAGGCCCTGGGTTTTGACAACAAACAAGGTAAGCAGAATAAGAAGCAAAAGGTGGGTGTGGCTGAATGAGCACACGTCTGGTAACATGGGGGTGTGGCCTAATGTGCTAATGAGCTGTGCTGTCAGGGGTGTGGCCTAATAGGCTGAGTTTCTGCTTTGGGGTGTGGCCTATTATGCTAATGAGTTCCTGCTGGGCTTTTTCTACAAAAAGAGCCCTGATTATTGTTTAGTTCATTTGTAACCCACATTTCTCCTCTGTGGGGGACCCAAAGCATCTTCCCGGGTTCTCCTCTCCTCCATTTTATCCTCACAACAACCCTGTGAGGAAGGTTAGGCCGAGAAAGTGTGACTGGCCCAAAGTCACCCAGTGAGTTTCCGTGGCATGAGTGGGGATTCAAACCTGGGTCTCTCATCTACTAGCCCGACACTCCTCCTTATTTGCCTTACCGAACTGTAGTCCTATTTCAGGTAACAAGTGCTTTCCAAAACAGCAGCTTTAGATCAGGGGCCCCCCGACCCTTCTGAGCCATTGGGCACCTTTGGAATTCTGACACAGGGTGGTGGGCACAGTCTCAAAATGGCGACGACAGGAGGCAGGGCCAGCCAGCCCCCAAAGGTCAGGGAACGAGTTTCTAGATAACTCTATTAAGTAACTCTTCAACATTGCGGGCAGAAACTCTGCTCAGCAGAATGCCTTTCAATCTCAATCTGCACATCCAATCAGAAGCCCTGCGAGGCAAAAGCCCCACTTAGCCCTGCCCAGGGGTCATTTCCTGCGGGAGCGAGCGGTAGACTCTAATCTGGAGATTTAGTTCATTTGTAACCCACATTTCTCCTCTGTGGGGGACCCAAAGCATCTTCCCGGGTTCTCCTCTCCTCCATTTTATCCTCACAACAACCCTGTGAGGAAGGTTAGGCCGAGAAAGTGTGACTGGCCCAAAGTCACCCAGTGAGTTTCCGTGGCATGAGTGGGGATTCAAACCTGGGTCTCTCATCTACTAGCCCGACACTCCTCCTTATTTGCCTTACCGAACTGTAGTCCTATTTCAGGTAACAAGTGCTTTCCAAAACAGCAGCTTTAGATCAGGGGCCCCCCGACCCTTCTGAGCCATTGGGCACCTTTGGAATTCTGACACAGGGTGGTGGGCACAGTCTCAAAATGGCGACGACAGGAGGCAGGGCCAGCCAGCCCCCAAAGGTCAGGGAACGAGTTTCTAGATAACTCTATTAAGTAACTCTTCAACATTGCGGGCAGAAACTCTGCTCAGCAGAATGCCTTTCAATCTGCGTGGCCAATCAGAAGCCCTGCAAGGCAAAAGCCCTACTTAGCCCTGCCCATTTTCTGAAAGCACGTGGTGGGTACCGTGGTGCCCATGGGCACCCTGTTGGAGACCCCTGCTGTAGATCATTATATATGGGAAGAGGCCTCCCGTTCCCCCCCCCCCAATCTTAGAAAGTAGAGACATCACCCTGCCAACAAAACTCCGCATGGTCAAAGCAATGGTATCCCCAGTAGTCATGTATGCAGGGCTTTTTTGGTAGAAAAAGCCAAGCAGGAACTCATTAGCATAATAGGCCACACCCAATGGCAGAAATTCATTAGCATATTAGGCCACACACCCATGTTTCCACACCCACCTTTTGCTTCTTATTCTGTTTACTTTGTTTGTTGTCAAAACCCTGGGCTTTTTTTGTAGCAGGAACATCTTTGCATGTTAGGCCACACACCCCTAATGTAGCCAATCCTAATGAGTTTCTGCTGTTGGGCGTGGCCTATTATGCTAATGAGTTCCTGCTGGGCGTGGCCAACTTGAGAGCCAGCCGGAACTCCGTTCCTGTGCGTTCCTGCCCCAAAATAGCTCTGAATGTATGGCTGCGAGAGTTGGACTATAAGGAAGGCCGAGCGCCGAAAAATAGATTCTTTTGAACTATGGTGCTGGAGAAGACTCTTGAGAGTCCCTTGGACTGCAAGAAGATCAAATCAGTCAATCCTAAAAGAAATCAACCCTGACTGTTCCCTGGAAGGCCAGATAATGAAACTGAAGCGCAAATACTTTGGCCACCAAATGAGAAGGGAGCACTCACTGGAGAAGACCCTGATGCTGGGAAAGATTGAAGGTCAAAGAAGACGGGGACGGCAAAGGATGAGATGGTTAGACAGTGTCATCGATGCAACGAACATGAAATTGAGCCAACTTCAGAGGACGGCGGAAGACCGGAAGGCCTGGCGTGATCTGGTCCATGGGGTCGCGAAGAGTCGGACTCGACTGTGCGACTGAACAACAACAAAAGGGGAAGTACTGCGGCTCAGTGGTACAGCATCTACTTGGTCTGCAGAAGGTCCCAGGTTCCGTCCCCGGCATCTCCAGTTGAAAGGACCATGTGATGTGAAAGACCTCTGCCCGAGACCCCGGAGAGCTGCTGCCGGTCTGAGCAGACCATTCATTTATTTATTTGCATTTTTGAATTGCCTCATCCCCACGAATGTGGGGCTCTAGGCGATATACAGATTTAGAAACAATAAAAGCATCAAACCATCATCAGAGCATGTCATTCATTAATTAAAATCAAGTGGCGAAATCATGTGTGGTTCCCTACTGACTTTGAGGGGCCGCGGTGGCTCAGGGGTTAAGACACTGAGCTGCAGGCTGGAAGATCGGTAGCTCGGCAGTTCAGGACCCGAGTGCCGCGTGATGGAGTGAGCGCCCGTCTCTGGCCCCAGCTCCTGCTACATAGCAGTTCGAAAGCAAGAAATTGCAAGTAGATAAATAGGTACCGCTTTGGTGGGAAGGTAACAGCGTTCCGTGTGCCTCGGCGTTTAGTCATGCCGGCCACCTGACCACGGAGAAGTCTTCGGACAGCGCTGGCTCTTTGACTCAGAAACGGAGACGAGCACCGCCCCCTCGGGTCGGATTCGACTGGCTCTCGAGCGAGGGAAACCTTTCCCTTGCTGACCTTGATGGACCAACCGTCTGATTCAGTAGAAGGCAGCTTCGTGTATACTTATTTAAAGACCCCGCTTTAACCACCCACTCACATCCACACAGAAGCGTCACTCCAAATCCAAGCCTCCTGACTTGCACTGCCTGCGACGGTCTCTGGAGCAGCGCAGAATCTGAACACCGCGTGCCTAAACTTTCCGAGAAGGGCCGACTCAGATCTCCGGGGAAGCCAGGCCGACAGCTGCCGTCCCATGTCGAGGTGGTATTGATGAGTGACTCCTGTCCCCCACCGCTGTGCATTCTGCGACTGGGGCCGGGACGAGCGAGGAGCTGTGTCCAGGAGCCCAGCTCCCCGGTGATGTCGAGCCACATGGAATACAGCTCCTGCCCCAGAGATTGCCCCACGATGGACAGCCTGGAGAGGCAGCTCATCTGCCCCATCTGCTTAGAGATGTTCACCAAGCCGGTGGTCATCCTGCCATGCCAGCACAACCTCTGCAGGAAATGCGCCAATGACATCTTTCAGGTGAGCAGCGCCCCCCCCCCAGAATACGCAGCCAAAGTGTGAGCTTTGTCTTCTCGCTAGGTGGGTTGCGCTTGAACCTGGACGCTACACCGGTTTGGTGTAGTGGTTAGGAGTGCAGACTCTAATCTGGGACAACCGGGTTTGACTTCCCACTCCTCCGCAGGCAGCTGCTGGGGTGACCTTGGGTCAGTCACAAGCTCTCTCGGAGCTGTTCTCTCATGAGCAGTCCTCAGAAGAGCTCTCTCAAACCCCACCTACCTCACAGGGTGTCTGTTGTGGGGAGGGGAAGGGAAAGGAGATTGTGAGCCGCTCTGAGACTCCTTTGGGTGGTGAAGGGCAGGGTATAAATCCAATCTCCTCCTCCTCTTCTTCTTCTTCTACCTCACAGGGTGTCTGTTGTGGGGAGGGGGAGGGAAAGGAGTTTGTAAGCCGCTCTGAGACTCCTTTGGGTGGTGAAGGGCAGGGTATAAATCCAATCTCCTCCTCTTCTTCTTCTTCTTCTACCTCACAGGGTGTCCGTTGTGGGGAGGGGAAGGGAAAGGAGATTGTAAGCCACTCTTGGACTCCTTTGGGAGGTGAAGAGCGGGGTATAAATCCAATCTCCTCTCCTCTCCTCTCCTCTTCTTCTTCTACCTCTGAACACAGAGATCCCATCGATCTGTTTTCCAGACAGGTCCTTTTCCTTCTTTTGTAAAGCCGCCTATACCTATCGCAACATCTTGTGGCAGGGAGTCCCGCAGGCTAACCGAACTGAGTGATGCGATGGAGGGATAGGTCTATGAGTGGCTACTAGCCATGGTGACTAAAGGGGACCTCCGTGTCCAGAGGCGGTAAACCTCTGTTTGTAGGACTGCCAACTCCAGATTGGGGAACTCCTGGAGATTTCGGGGTGGAGCTTGGAGAAAGTGAGGTCTAGGAAGGGACCTCAGTGGGATACAATGCCATAGAGTCCACCCTCCAAAGCAGCCATTCTCTCCGAGAGAATTGATTTCTGTGGTCTGGAGAGCAGATCTCATTCTGGGAGATCTCCAGGCACGTCCTGGAGGTTGGCACCCTTGCCTGAATCCCAATGCTAAGAGGCAGGGCTTTTTGTGTGGAAAAAGCCCAGCAGGAACTCATTAGCTTAGTAGGCCACACCCAACAGCAGAAACTTATTAGCCTATTAGGCCACACCCCTGACAGCACAGCTCACTGGCATATTAGGCCACACCCCCATGTTACCAGAAGTGTGCTCATCCAGCCACACCCACCTTTTGCTTTTTATTCTGTTTACCTTGTTTGTTGCCAAAACCCAGGGCTTTTTTTGTAGCAGGAACTCCTTTGCATGTTAGACCACACATCCCTAATGTAGCCAATCCTACTGAGTTCCTGCTGTTGGGTGTGGCCTACTAAGCTAATGAGTTCTTGCTGGGCGTGGCCAACTTGGAAGCCAGCCGGAACTCCGTTCCTGTGCGTTCCTGCCCAAAAATAGCCCTGCTAAGAGGTAATATTAGAGGAAGGCCTCAGCCTCTATTCCATAATGTTGGCCCTCTGGGGCAACTCCAGCTCTCACGTTTTTGTCTTAGCTCGGGAAGGGATGGCTCCAGAGCAAACTGATCTATGCAGCAGCCAGATCGCTTGCTCACCACTTTAATGCCATTCGCTCACAAAGTTGAGTTATTGCTCACAAGACTCCACAGCTTAGAGGGAGCATTGGACAGGACCACTGGTCTCATCCAGCGGGGCTCTTTTTATGATCTTTTATTCTTATGTTCCTTTAAGAAGAAGAAGAAGGAGGAGGAGGAGGAGGAGGAGGAGGAGGAGGAGGAGGAGGAGATTGGATTTATACGCTGCCCCTCACTATCCGAAGGCGACTCAGAGCGGCTTACAAACTCTTTTCCCTTCCCCTCCCCATAACAGACACCCTGTGAGGTAGGTGGGGCTGAGAGAGCTCTTGACAGAAACTGCTCTTTTTCAAGAACAGCTCTGACAGAACTATGTCTTGCCCAAGGTCATCCAGCAGGTGCAAGTGGAGGAGTGGGGAATCAAACCCAGTTCTCCCAGATTAGAGTCCGCGCACTGAACCACTACACCAAACTGTAGTTTGCTTGCTCTAAATCTACTGGTTATTATGAACAGGCGTCTTGGGGCAGCAAGAATAATAAAATGATTTTATTCTGTCGTAAACTTTCATGGGCTAGGAGTGGGCTGTAGTCATTAAAAGTTTATTCTGGAATAAAATCTTGTCGGTCTATGAGGTCCAGAGACCGTTATTTTTGCTGTTACCTAGTTGCTTTGGGTAATTCAAGGCCTAGCATTCGGAGGGTCCGTAATTTCTGTATTCATTCCCTATCTGTCATATTAAGAAGCTGAACCCCGCATGGGACTAGCCAGCCGCACATATAGGAGGGGGATAAATTTACCCACCCTCCCTTGAAACTTAATTCAACAGGAGGAATGGTCTGATTTCCCCAAGTATGCCCCCTTCTTCGTCTCTTGAGAGCCAGTTTGGTTTAGTGGTTAAGTGCACAGACTCTAATCTGGGAGAACCAGGTTTGATTCCCCACTCCTCCACTTGCACCTGCTGGATGACCTTGGGTCAGTCATAACTTCTGTCAGAGCTGTTCTTGAAAAAGAGCAGTTTCTGTCAGAGCTCTCTCAGCCCCACTGACCTCACAGGGTGTCTGTTGTGGGGAGGGGAAGGGAAGGGAGTTTGTAAACTGCTCTGAGACTCCTTTGGGTAGCGAAGGGCAGGGTATAAATCCAATCTCTTCTTCTCCTCTTCTAAATAAGAGGCGGCAATGGCAATTCATTGAGAAAAGGAAATGGCACCTTTGAGGGAGGAAGGAATTGGGGAGGGCCGCCTCTGGCCTCACAATCAGTAGCTTAGCCTCCGATGTGTGTCTGTGTATGGACACACAAAACTCTCTGCTCAGCACAGGTCTCTGATCCAGGGACTAGACCCGGTTGTTGTGGCAGAAAGTGCCATCAGGTTATTGCTGACTCAAGGCAACCCGTGGGGTTTTCAAGGCAAGAGACATTTATTATTATTATTATTAATAATAATAATAATAATAACAATAATAATAATAATACTTTCAATTTGATGTACAGTTACACATTAGACAGGGGACTAACAATGATCAAAGGGGATAGGGAGGACAACATATATTCATTTTTAATTGCACACGCTGTCACTGCACGGTGTAAACATCTTCTGGCTTGGCTCAGTCATTTTCCGAACGGCTGCTTGTCGACCAGGCTTCAGGATCTGTATGTCACATCGCCACACTGCCACCGCCTGGCTGGAGACATCCACTGCAGGGAATTTGTAGCCGAGAAGTTCTTTCGCCTTTTTCCAACCTCGACCAGGAAGTCCCCACCGTCAGCTAACACTCTCCCACAAGGGGGATTGGTGTGCCCACCCTCTCTAAGGAGTGGTTCCCATTTTATCTACTTGCTGAAGCTTTCGAATCGCTGGGTGGACGATGAGCTGGGGACAACAGGCTGACTGCTCACACCAGCGCGGGGCTCGAACTAACACAGTTCGGATGTTAAGCCAGTGGGATATACCCACTGTGCCACCGCTCCCCTTTGGAGGTAGTTTGCCATTGCTGGCCTCTGCGTCGCGACCATGACCCTGGTTGTAGCAAGTTAGAGAAGAAAGAAGGAGGAGGAGGAGGAGGAGAAAATGGGATTTATACCGCACCCTTCACTTCCCGAAGGAGTCTCAGAGCATCTTACAATCTCCTTTCCCTTCTCCTCCCCACAACAGACACCTCATGAAGTAGGTGGGGCTAAGAGAATTTTGAGAACTGCTCTTGAGAGAATAGCTCTGGAAGAACTTGTGAGTGACCAAAGGTCACCCAGCAGCTGCACGTGGAGGAGTGGGGAATCAAACCCGGTTCCCCCAGATTAGAGTCCACACTCTTAACCACTCCACCAAACACGGTTTGGCTGCTACCAGCCTTGCAATGGGCAAAGCCAGTGGGAAACTTTCTAAAAGGAAATGCAGTGGAAACTTTCTAAAGGATCATAAGCTTGTCCAGGATGAATGAGTTCAGACTTTGACACTACCTGCCAGAGGAGGTGGTGATGGCCACAGCCATAGATGGCTTTAAAAGGGGACTAGACAGATTCATGGAGGATAGGTCTAAGAGTGGCTACTAGCCATGGTGACTAAACAGAACCTCCATGGACAGATGCAGTAAACTTCTGAATCCCAGTGCCAGAAAGCAACATCAGGGAAGACTTTGGCCTCTATGCGTTGTTGCTGATGGACTACTGGTCTGATCCTGCAGGGCTCTTCTGGTGTTGATACGAAGGCCTCAGCCTCTGTGCCCTGTGGTTGGCCCTCCAGAGGCCGCTGTGTAAGACAGGATGGTGGACTAGAGGGACCACTGCTCTGATCCAGCAGGGCTCTTCTTGTGTTCTTCTCAAGGGAAGGCCTCGGCCTCTCTGCCCTGTTCTTGGCCCTCCAGAGGAACTAGTTGGCCACTGTGTGAGACAGGAGGCTGGACTAGATGGACCACTGGTCTGATCCAGCAGGGCTCTTCTTGTGTTCTTCTCAAGGGAAGGCCTCGGCCTCTCTGCCCTGTTCTTGGCCCTCCAGAGGAACTAGTTGGCCACTGTGTGAGACAGGAGGCTGGACTAGATGGACCACTGGTCTGATCCAGCAGGGCTCTTCTTACATTCTTATGAAGGCCTTGGCCTCTGAGCAGGCCTGGAGATCTCCAGCCTGTAATTTGGGATCTCCAGGCCCACCACGAGTCTGGCAACCCTACCTGGAGATTTGAGGCGGGAGGCTGGGGCGGGACCTCGGGAGCAATTCAGGGCTCTTTTTGTAGAAAAAGCCCAGCAGGAACTCATTAGCATAATAAACCACACCCAACCACAGAAACACATTAGCATATTAGGCCACACCCATGACAGCACAGCTCATTAGCACATTAGGCTGCACCCCCATGTTACCAGAAGTGTGGTCATCCAGCCACACCCACCTTTTGCTTGTTATTCTGTTGACCTTGTTTGTTGTAGCAGGAACTCCTTTGCATGTTAGGCCACACACCTCTAATGTAGCCAATCCTAATGAGTTCCTGCTGTTGGGTGTGGCCTGTTATGCTAATGAGTTCCTGCTGGGTATGGCCAACTTGGGAGCCCGCCAGAACTCTGTTCCTGTGCGTTCCTGCCCAAAAATAGCCCTGATTGACCTTAATTGATTCCTGAACTGCCATTGCTATTGATCAATGTCTCCTTATTGCTGATTTGTTCCTGTCCGTAACGTGAGACTTTGTTCGTAACTCTAATTGGAGGGGAAAGCCAAAGCATTTGGATGGAAAATACGACATCCGTAACATTTCTCCAAGAAGATTTGTTTCTTCTTCTGGCAGGGCCAGAATTCCTTCCGTAGGACGCTTTTGGTCTGCTCCAGATAACTGAGGAGTTGCGCATGTTCTAATTTCTAATCCTTCTGTTCTCCCAGGGGAAGTTCCACACCTGCTTTCCTGCTATTAAGTGTCTTGTGTTTACCCTGAGAGTCCGGCCTTTGGTTTCTAGCTAGAATGTAATCTTCTCCTTTCCTCCAGCAACGTAAAGAGCTAGCTAGCCTCTTGGTCAGCGCCTCCCCTGGGGGGCGGGGTACGATCTTCGTAACGCCACGTGTACTGACCTAAAGAAGGAGCATAAATTACTGTTTTCTAAGACTTGCTTTTCTCGTAATAAGAACATAAGAGAAGCCACGTTAGATCAAGCCAATGACCCATCCAGTCCAAGACTCTGTGTTACACTGTGGCCAAAAATACCAGGCGCCATCAGGGGGTCCCCCAGCAGGGCCAGAACTCCAGAAGCCCTCCCACTGTTGCCCCCTCCCCCAAGCACCAAGAAGACAGAGCATCACTACCCCAGACAGAGTGTTCCCTCTATACCTTGTGACTAATAGCCACTCATGGACCTCCACTCCATATAAGAACATAACGGAAGCCATGCTGGATCAGGCCAATGGCCCATCCAGTCCAATACTCTGTGTCACACAGTGGCCAAAAATTCCAGGTGGCCTCAGGAGGTCCACCAGTGGGGCCAGGACACTAGAAGCCCTCCCACTGTTGCCCCCCCCAAGCACCATGAATACAGAGCATTACCACCCCAGACATAAGAACATCAGAGAAGCCATGTTGGATCAAGCCAGTGGCCCATCCAATCCACCACTCTGTGTTACACAGTGGCCAAAAATACCAGGTGCCATCAGGAGGTCTACCAGTGGGGCCAGAACTCCAGAAGCCCTCCCCACACTTCCCCCCCCCAAGCACCATGAATACAGAGCATTACCACCCCAGACATAAGAACATAAGAGACGCCAATGTTCGACCAGGCCACTGGTCCACCCAGTCCAATACTCTGTGTCACACAGTGGCCAAAAATACCAGGTGCCATCAGGAGGTCCACCAGTGGGGCCAGAACTCCAGAAGCCCTCCCACTCTTCCCCCCCCCCCAAGCACCAAGAATACAGAGCATCACTACCCCAGACAGAGAGTCCCATCTATACCTTGTGGCTTAATAGCCACTGATGGACCTCTGCTCCAGATGTTTCTCCAACCCCCTCTTGAAGCTGTCTGTGTTTGTAGCTGGAGAAACAAATGGCTGCACCAGTAGGCAGGAAAAATAAAGAAAAAAGCAGGTGCAAGGTAAAAAAAAAGTATTTATTAGAGCTTTATAGATCCTTACGTGTTTCACAGCAAAACCTCTTCACTGGATCTTCTACAGGGTTTTTCAAATTCCACCTTGAGCACCTGCTTTCTTTCTCTTTTTTTATGCTTGTAGCTGCCACCACTTGCTGCGGCAGTGAATTCCACCTGTTAGTTCCTCTAAATGAGCACAGCTTTTGAGGGTGTTATTTCAAGAAATATTTACGGTAAATGGAGAAGAGAAGAAGAAGAGAAGAGATTGGATTTATACCCTGCCCTTCACTTGGAGTCTCAGAGTGGCTTACAAACTCCTTTCCCTTCCCCTCAACAGACACCCTGTGAGGTGGGTGGGGCTGAGAGAACTCTGACACAAACTGCTCTTTTTTCAAGGACAGCTGTGCCAGAGCTTGTGACTGACCGAAGGTCACATCAGCAGGTGCAAGTGGAGGAGTGGGGAATCAAACCCGGTTCTCCCAGATTAGAGTCCATGCACTTAACCACTACACCAAACTGGAGGAGGGGAAAGCTTCAAATGTTATCATCTTGTACCTTTTCTTTTTTTTGGCCCCCCATAGGGGATTTTTTTTAATTTGCATTTTCAAAAAACTACAACGAAATTTAGGGAGGGGACTACAAATGATGGGAGAACGTAAAGAAAACCCACTAAAAACCCAAGAGAAGGTGATATACATTATGCTTATAAAGTCTGCTTCTTGCTTACCATTCGCTTAAAGTTCATTGGATGTGGTCGACCATGTTCTTCATACAAAAGCTACAATCAATTACACCTACATATCTGCCTGAATAAAGAGAAATTCAAGAAATGGCTATTAATCATTATATAGAATTCCAGAAACATTAACTTGTTGTTCGAGACCCGGGTGTGCCGCATGACGGAGTGAGCTCCCGTCTCTAGTTCCAGCTCCTGCCAACCTAGCAGTTCGAAAGCAAGAAACTGCAAGTAGATAAATAGGTACCACTTCGGTGGGAAGGTGACAGCGTTCCATGAGTCTTGGTGTTTAGTCATGCCGGCCACATGACCACGGAAACGTCTTCGGACAGCGCTGGCTCTTCGGCTTGGAAACGGAGATGAGCACCGCAACCCTAGAGTCGGATTCAACTGGCTTTCGAGCAAGGGAACCTTTACCTTTACTTTTACCTAATTGCACAGATGCCCTGACCTGGATTCCCCAGGCTGGCTCAATTCTGTCAGATCTCAGAAGCTAAGCAAGGTTGACCTTGGACACCATTGGGATGGGAGACCACCGAGGAAGTCCAGGGTAGCTACACAGAAGCAAGGCATGGGAAACCGCCTCTGAATGCCACCTGACTTGAAAACCCCACTAGGGGTCGCCATCAATCGGCTGGGACTTGGCGGGGGGGAAAACCCAAAACATTGCACATCTATGCAGTTCTCTGGGGCCACAGTGGCTCAGAGGTTAAGATGCTTAGTTGCAGACCAGAAGGTCTGTAGTTCAGCAGTTCGAGACCCGAGTGCCGCAAGACGGGGTGAGCGCCCGTCTCTAGCCCCAGCTCCTGCCAACCGAGCAGTTCGAAAGCAAGAAACTGCAAGTAGATCAATAGGTACCGCTTTGGTGGGAAATAGGGTTCCGTGCGCCTCGGCGTTTAGGCATGCCGGCCACATGACCACGGAGAAGTCTTCGGACAGCGCTGGCTCTTCGGATTGGAAACGGAGATGGGCACCACCACCTAGGGTTGGATCTCACTGGCTTTCGAGCAAGGGAAACCTTTACCTTTACCTTATGCAGTTCTCTGATGTCTGCACTTATAACATAGATCCAAGAAGGTAGCCGTGTTAGTCATGCTATGCTATGTACCCCCCGTTGAATCCAAATGGATGATAGCCATATATACTAAGCTTATTATTCTTTTAATCTGTTAAAAACACCTTCATTATTCTGAATGCTAATCTATTGCCCGCCCGCTATATGTATGACTGTTATTTCTATTTCCATTTCATTGTATCTGAGGAAGTGTGCGCGCACATGATAGCTTATACCTTGAATAAAACTTTGTTGGTCTTAAAGGTGCCGCTGAGCTCCGACTTTGGTCTCTTGCACTTATAACAGATTATGCAAACACACGACATACAACCCTGAAATTATTATATATGCAAACTGCTTTAACGTTTTAAAAAATCCATACTCCAATGCCTAATTTTTTTAATAGAACAGAGTTTGAGTCCAGTGGCACCTTTAAGACTGACACAGTTTAATTCTCGGTATAAGCTTTCGTGTGCAAGCACACGCCCTCAGATACAGGTTTGCTCTGGAGCCCTCCTTCCTGAGCTGAGACAAAAATGGGTGAGCCAGAGGCTAAAAAATGTGAGCTAGCTCACACTAACTCAGCTTAGAGGGAACGCTGGTTGGCAACTCTACATCCAGGTCACTGGCTCACCAGGAATTTTCTCAGTGAAGAAGAGGAGATTGGATTTATACCCCGCCCTTCACTTGGAGTCTCAGAGCGGCTTACAAACTCCTTTCCCTTCCCTGCCCCACAACAGACACCCCGTGAGGTGGATGGGGCTGAGAGAACTCTGACACAAACTGCTCTTTTTCAAGGACAGCTGTGCCAGAGCTTGGGACTGACCCAAGGTCACATCAGCAGGTGCAAGTGGAGGAGTGGGGAATCAAACCCAGTTCTCCCAGATTAGAGTCCGCACACTTAACCACTACACCAAACTCCACACCTAACCACTACACCAAACCGCACACTTAACCACTACACCAAACTGGCTCTTGAAGAACCAGTCTTCCCCTGTGCACACAGCATCCTCCGGTATGCTCCCGTTCCGGTCAGGTTTCAAAGTCATGCCTGCATCGTACCTGACTAGGAAAGGACACATGAATACATGAATCTGGCTCCTAGTGAATCAGACCCTGGGTCCATCATGGTCAGTATTGTCTACATTATTATTATCGTATGGCATTGTGTGTAGAATAGCCAGGAGATCCTGTCTGGCAGCCAGAAATTCTAACTCTTTTAACATTATGCACCACTAGATGGCAAGCTAGACTTGTTTCTGAGGCAAGAGAAGTTTCAGAAGTGGTTTGCCATCGCCTGCCTCTACAACACAGCCCTGGTATTCCTTGGAGGTCACCCTTCCAAATATTAGCCAAGCGGGCCCGAAGGCAGGATTTTGTGGCTTGTGGGGCAATTTTTTTCCTGGTGGGGCTGAAGTTCCCAGTGCAGAATGAAAAGCTATTTAGCCAACAGAAAGCCGTTACCAGGATCGATCTCTAAATTGCAAGCGGTCAACCACTTTCCAACTGCTGCAAGTTAATCACCTCTGCCAGCCTAAGCAACAGTTCTGACAACAAGCCGGCAGCTGGGAGTGATGACTTCTATAGTCGAGAAAGCTAACGCTTAGGCAGAAAGACTCTCTTAAAGGAGACACAGAGTTAGAAGGGATCCTAGAGGTCACCTACTCCAACCCCCTTGCTTAGTGCGGGAATTAGTCTACAGCACCCCACTCTGCTTAAAGGAGTGCACACATTTAAAAAATGTTTTTAAATGATTGGAAAAAAGGCATTTACAGTAGAAATTCTTATTTGTTTATATTTATTTATTTTTATTTATGTTTGGATTTATATCCCGGCCTACCCCGAAGGCTCAGGGCGGCTTACAGGGGCACTATGTGCCAAGATTATAACAGTAAAACACATAATATAAAACAATAAATTACAATTTCTGCTCCTTTTACCTGGAGATGCCAGAGATTGAACCTGGGACCTTCTGCATGCCAAGCAGATGTTTTGTCACTGAGCCACGGGCCCTCTTAACAGGGAGAGGCAGTTCGTGGGCTGCCCTGGGCAAACTGGAGCAATATGAGTTTTGCCTGTTACTAGGGTGGAGGCTAGGGTTCCCAAACGGCGGCGGGGGATCCGCGCGTGTTCGCAGGATCGCTGCCGCGGGGGACAGCAATCCGCGCTGCACCGGCGTCGCCAGGATGTGACGCTATGCGTCGCCCTGGCAACGGGGCTGTTTGGAGTCCCGTTGCCAGGGCGACGCATAGCGTCACATCCTGGCGACGCCGGTGCAGCGCGGATCGCTGAGGACCAATGTCAGGATACCCTGAAGCGGGGCTGCCACCAGGGCCCAGGGCGTCAGGTGGAGCCAAGCAGGGGTCATTTCCTGCAGGAGCGCACAGGAGCAGAGCTCCGGCAGTAAAGAGCCCAGGGGGCGGGCACATGCAACAAGCCCCGCCCTCTGCTCCCAGCAGCCCTCAGTCAGAGCAAGATGCAGCCAGGTAAGCTGCAGAGCCCACCCCCCAGCCCCCCGGCCCAAAACAGTCCAGTGGCCCCTTTAAGACCAAGTTTTATTCAGGCACAAGCTCTCCCTCCTCTGCCAGGACAGATCTGCACGTTCCCCCTCCCCCGCCCCAATAGCTGGCAATCCAAAACAGTCCAGTGGAGCCTGAGCGGTGGGTGTTGCCTTCTGACACCCTTCCAGTGATGTCAGGGGGTGTGGCATATGCAAATAAGTTATGCTAATGAGTTATGCTAATGAGCTCCTGCACCTCTTTTTCTGCGAAATGACCCCTGGAGCCAAGTATTATTGAAGAAGAAGAAGAGAAGAAGAGAAGAGATTGGATTTACACCCTGCCCTTCACTACCCAAAGGTGTCTCAGAGCGGCTTACAAACTCCTTTCCCTTCCCCTCCCCACAACAGACACCCTGTGAGGTAGGTGGGGCTGAGAGAGCTCTGACAGAAACTGCTCTTTTTCAAGGACAGCTGTTATCAGAACTACGGCTTGCCCAAGGTCATCCAGCCAGGTGCAAGTGGAGGAGTGGGGAATCAAACCCGGTTCTCCTAGATTACCACTACACCACTAGATGACCACTACGCCAGACTGGGTCTCAGTTTGAGCCCCACCCATGCATCTCTCTCACACACATGAAGCTGCCTCCTACTGAATCAGACCACTGGTCCATCAGGGTCCATATTGTCTACTCAGACTGGCAGCCGCTCTGCCAGGGTCTCAGATCTAGGTCTTTCCAATCATCTACACCCTAGAGATGCTGGGAACCGGACTTGGAACCGTCTGCATGCCAAGCAGAGGCTCTGCCGCGAGCCGTAGCCCCTCCCTTGAAGAAATGTGACATCTGCAATATTCAGAGCAAGCTGGGCTGTGCCTTAACCCACTCTAAAGTTGCACAAAGTAGCATAAGTGGAGGTCAAGCTGCTGCTCTGGGCGCATTGCTAGGTCAAAAACCTTGACGCCTTTGGCAAAACAGCACCTCCCAGCGATGCTTTGACAATCCTCTTTCAGCCTTTGGTTTCCAAATACTCCTTGACCTGTTCTTTCTCAAACAGCTATCTAGCTTGACAAATGATATACTGGAAGAAAGATCACGCTAACAAAACAGAGCAAGAAAGAGACCTGGCTAATAGGCTGGGGAAATGTGTTATCAGAAGAAGAAGAACTGGATTTATACTCCACCCTTGACTACCCAAAGGGAGTCTCACAGTAGCTTACAATCTCCTTTCCCTTCCCCTCCCCACAACAGACACCCTATGATGAGGTAGGTGGGGCTGAGAGAGCTCTTTCGAGGACTGCTGCTGAGAGAACAGCTCTGAAGTATGGGATGAATCAGATGCCTTCCTTCTGAGTGGATCAAAGGTAGTGTTGTGAAGTGGTTAGGGGGGTCAGACTGGGTATGGGGAGATGGGCGCTTTCATGCATGCTAAATAATGCCATGTCAATCCACCTCAGCGACCGTTTGCAAGTGGATTCTGGCGCTTCACACAGTAAAATCCAGTGGCAAAGCACATTGAAAGCAGATTGAAAGCGTGTTATTGTGTATGTGTCAAAGCGCCTTTCAAATCTCCACTCAGCCACGGAAGCTGGCCGGGTGACTTTGGCCTTATCATTGCCTTTCATCCTAACCTACCATGGCAGTGTTGTTGTGGGTATAAAGTGAAGGAAGGAAAGAAGAGATTTTGGGGATGTAAATGTGTCAGACGGGACTTTCTGCAGGAAGTGTTTGCATTTAGCCTATTGGCTAGAAAACAGCAAGAGTCCAGCAGTGCCTTAGGTAAAGGTAAAGATTTCCCTTGCCTGAAATCCAGTCGAATCCGACTCTAGGGATGCAGTGCTCATCTCCGTTTCCAAGCCGAAGAGCCAGTGCTGTCCGAAGACTTCTCCGTGGTCGTGTGGCCAGCGTGACTAGACGCCGAGGTGCACGGAACGCTGTTACCTTCCCACCGAAGCGGTACCTTTTTACCTACTTGCAATTTCTTGCTTTCGAACTGCTAGGTTGGCAGGAGTTGGGGCCAGAGACGGGAGCTCACTCCGTCACGCGGCACTTGGGTCTTGAACTGCCGAACTACAGACCTTCCGGTCTGCAGCTCAGCATCTTAACCACTTGAGCCACCGCTCAGACACTAGCCCAGCCCTAACATAAAGCCAACTTTTGTGTCTTTCAGTCTCGAGGGACAACCTTGGGATCTGCTGGGAGGTTTCGCTGCCCATCCTGCCGCCACGAAGTGGTCCTGGACAGACACGGCATCTACGGGCTGCAACGCAATCTCCTGGTCGAGAACATCATTGACATCTACAAGCAAGCGTCGGCAAGCGGACCTGATAGGTGTGTTGTCTCACTATTGGTTGCCTTGGGGAGGGGCTGTGGCTCAGTGGTATAGAGCCTCTGCTTGGCAGACAGAAAGTCCCAAATTCAATCCCCGGCATCTCCAATTAAAAGGATCAGGCAGTGGGTAATGTGAAAGACCTCTGCCTGAGACTCTAGATCATCGCTCAGTAGACAATGCTGACCTTGATGGATCAATGGTCTAATCTAAGGCAGCTTCATTGAGGAGGAGGCTTGGCTCAGTGGAAGAGCATCTGCTCTGCATGGAGAAGGTCCCCGGTTCAATCCCCGGGCATCTCCAATTAAAAGGATCAGGAAGTCGGTGATGTGAAAGACCTCAGCCTTAGACTGTGGAGAGTTGTGGGGAGGGGCTGTGGCTCAGTGGAAGAACCTCTGCTTAGCATGCAGAAGGTCCCCGGTTCAATCCCCGGGCATCTCCAATTAAAAGGATCAGGAAGTCGGTGATGTGAAAGACCTCAGCCTTAGACTGTGGAGAGTTGTGGGGAGGGGCTGTGGCTCAGTGGAAGAACCTCTGCTTAGCATGCAGAAGGTCCCCGGTTCAATCCCCGGGCATCTCCAATTAAAAGGATCAGGAAGTCGGTGATGTGAAAGACCTCAGCCTTAGACTGTGGAGAGTTGTGGGGAGGGGCTGTGGCTCAGTGGAAGATCCTCTGCTTAGCATGCAGAAAGTCCCTGGTTCAATCCCAATCCCCGGCATCTCCAGTTAATAAAAGGATCAGGCAGGAGATGATGGGAAAGATCTCCGCCTGAGACCCTGGAGAGCAGCTGCTGGTCTGAGTACTGACATCTCCAGGTGAAAGGACCAGGCAGGAGGTGATGTGAAAGACCTCCGCCTGAGACCCTGGAGAGCTGTGTCAAGGGGCTGTGGCTCAGTGGACGAGCCTCTGCTTGGCATGCAGAAGGTCCCAGGTTCAATCCCCGGCATCTCCAGTTAAAAGGACCAGGCAGGAGATGATGGGAAAGATCTCCGCCTGAGACCCTGGAGAGCTGTAAAGAAGGGCTGTGGCTCAGTGGGAGAGCATCTGCTTGGCATGCAGAAGGTCCCAGGTTCAATCCCCGGCATCTCCAGTTAAAAGGACCAGGCAGGAGATGATGGGAAAGACCTCCGTCTGAGACCCTGGAGAGCCGCTGCTGGTCTGAGTAGACAAGACTGACCTTAATGGACCAAGGGCCTGTTTTGGTACCAAGCAGCTTCACATGTGTTCAATATGTCTGCAACAGGTCCGGACCAGTTCCTTGAAATAACAAACTGGCCGCCAGCCTAGTCTCGCGTGGATAGGTGTGGGGCTGTGTGCTCTCCCTCCGTCGCTTCTTCTTTCTCATCTCTCCCAGTTTCCTTTCCCTTCAACTGGCCTGTTGTTCCCAAAGCCGTTCCTGTATAATCGTCTTTATGGGGACGAGAAACTGGCGCTGTTCTTACAGAAAGGAGATCACTTCAGTAGCGAAAGGATTTCAACAGTGACGGGGAGCGTCCATCCTGTGCGAAATCCCTCCAGTCTTCACCCCAAAGTAACAAGGCTGATGGCTGCGGGGAGGGCTGTCAAATTGCAGCTGGTTTATTTATTTACCAGATTTATTTATTTATTTGTTAGATTTATATTCGCCCTCCGCAAATGGGCTCAGGGCGGCTAGCAACAGAGGCAAATGCCATAACAAACAATTAAAACAGCATAAAAACAATCAATAGATAAAGTGCGGTGCTCTTGATGTTAAATCTTATCACTCCAAGATGGCTTCCATTGATCAACTTAGCCTGACAACGTAAGTTCTTCGGTCATCTCGGCGTCTTCACAGGACCGGCTCACTTATAGGTCTAATCCACCATCGAAGATGGCAACTCGGTGGCGGCACAATGACGGCGACCCTGGTGACCAGGGTTTCCTCTAAGCTGAGTTAGTGTGAGCTAGCTCACAGTTTTTTAGCCTCCGGCTCGCACATTTTTGTCTTCGCTCAGGAAGGGATGGCTCCAGAGCAAACTGATTTGTGCAGTAGCCAAATCGCTCACCCACAACTTTAAATGTCAGTAGCTCACAAAGTAGAATTTTTGCTCACAAGACTCCATAGCTTAGAGGGAACATTGGTGACCCTGTCGGATTTTCAAGGCGAAAGACTAACAGGAGCGGTTTGCCATTGCCTGCCTCTGCCCTGGGCTTCCTTGGTGGTCTCTTCCTTGGTGTCCAGTTTGGTGTGGTGGTTCAGAGCGCAGACTCTAACCTGGGAGAACCGGGTTTGATCCCCCACTCCTCCACATGCAGCTGCTGGTGTGACCTTGGGTCAGCCACAAGTTCTCTCAGAGCTGTTCTCTCAAGGGCAGTTCTGGAAAGAGCTCTCCCAGCCCCACCTGCCTCACAGGGTGCCTGTTGTGGCGAGGGGAAGGAAAAGGAGATTGCAAGCGGCTCTGAGACTCCTCCGTGTTGTGAAGGGCAGGGTATAAATCTAACCTAGTCTTCTCTTTTTCATCATATGTTCCCCCACGGGCACTACGGTCGGGGACGCAACATCTCCTGGCAATGCCAAGCCCAAAGGAGGCCAGGCTGGCCGCTACCAGGGCCAGGGCTTTTTCGGTGGCGGCTCCTACCTGGTGGAACGAGCTCCCGGTGGAGATCCGGGCCCTGCGGGACCTAGCACAGTTCCGCAGGGCCTGCAAGATGGAGCTCTTCCGCCAGGCGTTTGAGTAGGAGCCGCCACTACTGTACCATAATTATCTGGCCCTGGAAGAGAGAACGATGGTATCATGTGGAAAAGACGACACTGAGGCGGTAGAGCAGCAGTGATATCTCATCTTTATAGAAGATCAATTTGGAACATCTGAGCACTTAATACTGTAATATTGTAGAATGTTTTTAAATGGTTTTAAATATGTTTTATGCGCTGGCTTGTGCCTGATTGTAAGCCACCCTGAGCCCGCTTTGCGGGGAGGGAGGGCTATAAATTGAATTTATAAAATAAAATAAATAAATAAATCATCCAAGTACTAACCAGGACGACCAATGTTTTGCTTCCGAGATCAGATGGGATCAGACTATCCCTTCTGAGCCCTGACTTGGATAGTCCAGGGGAGCCTGATTCTATCAGATCTCGGGTGCTAAGCAGGGCCGGCCCTGGGTCACTACTGGGATAGGAGACCACCGAGGAAGTCCGGGGTTCCTCCACAGAGACAGGCAAGAGCGAACCACCTCTGAATGTATCTCACCTTGAAAACCCTACGGGGTCACCCTAAGCTGACTGTGACTCGGTGGCCAAAATAACTAAATAAAAAATCCTCTGGTTAATGAGGAAAGGCTGAAAGAGTGGGGTCTGTTTCGCCTGGGAAAGAGAAGGCTTAGAGGGGACATGATTGTCATGTAGAAGACGGAGCAGATCTATTCTCTCTTGCTCCGGATTGCAAGACTAGATCTAATGGGTGGAAATGACAAGGGAGTCGTTACCGGCTAAGTATCAGGAGAAACGTCCTAACTGTCAGAGTGGTTGAGCAGTCTGCCTCGGGAGGTGGTGGATGCTCCTTCACTGGACGTTTTCAAACGGAGGCTGGACGACCATCTTTCGGGTATGTTGTAGGTATGTAGGGCTCTCTTTCGGCTGTGCTCCTGCAGAGTGCAGGGGTTGGACTAGATGACCTCCAAGGTCCCTTCCAACTCTAACATTCTATGATTCTAAGAAGAAGAGGAGGAGGAGGAGGAGGAGGAGGGCAACCAGGATGGTGAGAGGGTTGGAACCCACATCTTATGAGGAAAGGCTGAAAGAGCTGGGTCTGTTTAGCCTGGGAAAGAGAAGGCTCAGAGGGGACATGATTACAGTCTTCAAGTGTTTGAAGGGCTGTCATGTAGAAGAGGGAGCAGATCTATTCTCTCTTGCTCCGGATTGCAAGACTAGACCTAACGGGTGGAAATTACAAGGGAGTCGTTACTGGCTAAATATCAGGAGAAACTTCCTAACTGTAAGTGTGGTTGAGCAGTGGAACAGTCTGCCTCGGGAAGTGGTGGATGCTCCTTCGCTGGACGTTCTCAAGCGAAGGCTGGACGACCATCTTTCAGGTATGTTGTAGGGCTGTGTTTCGGCTATGCTCCTGCAGAGTGCAGGGGGTTGGACTAGATGACCTGCAAGGTCCCTTCCAATGCTAACATTCTATGATTCTATGAAGGTCAGACCCAGCTATGAAATATTTCAACTGGCCACTAGAGGACTCTGTGTGCTGCAAAAAAAAATGATGCTCACCCTTACAGACTTTCAAGTTTTTGGGTCCTAGACCTGATTCTAAAAGTATTCGGTCTTTTGTGAAATAAAGAGGAGTCTCGGGGCACCGGCTGTGTGTGTGAACTGCCAAGTCACTTCCAACCTAAGGCTATCCTGGCTGATTCTGCACTGGCTTTTCCCTCCGTTGTTTTAGCAAACCCACGTTGGAACAAAAATTGCCCTCTGCGTTGCACACCTTCGGCATTCCCCTGAAATACCCCCATCCCCCAACTGTTAGTCAGGGTAACCAGGCAACCCTATATGGACCCTGAGGTGTTGATTTAGGGGCTACAATTAAAGGTGACATAAGAGAAGCCAACGTTGGATCAGCCAATGGCTCATCCAGTCCAATACACTGTGTCTCACTGTGGCCAAGAATACCAGGTGCCATCAGGAGGTCCATCAGTGGGGCCAGGACACTAGAAGCCCTCCCACTGTTGCCCCCCCCCAAGCACCAAGAAGACAGAGCATCACTTGCCCCAGCCTGAGAGTTCCTCTCTATACCTTGTGGCTAATAGCCACTGATGGACCTCTACTCCATATCTTTATCTAATTCCCTCTTATACGAACATAAGAGAAGCCAATGTTGGATCAGGCCAATGGTCCCGCCAGTCCAACACTCTGTCACACGGTGGCCAAAAATACCAGGGGCCATCAGGAGGTCCAGCAGTGGGGCCAGGACATTAGAAGCCCTCCCACTGTTGCCCCCCCCCAAGCACCAAGAATACCGAGCATCCCTTGCCCCACCTTGTGGCTAATAGCCACTGATGGACCTCTGCTCCATTTCCCCAGAAACTCATGTGGCAGGCTTTGTTACTTACCCTGTGTGGTAGCAGCATGGTATGCATTTCTGACTCATGTCTATTTTCATAGTTGTAAGGTTCAGGCTGAGCCAAATTTCCCAAGTTTCAGTTTTTGTGTCAGAATGTGTACTTTCATGGTGCAAACTGCATGAAAACTGAAAATGTTCCTCTGTTTCTCATCCAAGTTGTGGCTACAGAATAGTGCTGGGTGGGAGCTGGAGAAGACCTGATGCTGGGAAAGATTGAAGATCAAAGAAGACGGGGACGGCAAAGGATGAGATGGTTAGACAGTGTCATAGAGGCAACGAACATGAAATGGAGCACTTCAGGGGCCGGCAGAAGACCGGAAGGCCTGGCGTGATCTGGTCCATGGGGTTGCGAAGAGTCGGACTCGACTGTGCGACTGACCAACAAAAAATACACAGTCAAGCAAGCAGACGTGCTAAAGTTAAAGCTAAAGCTAAAAAAAACCCTTCTGCATAGATTTATGGCCCTTTTATGGTCATTCGAGGGTGACTCTGCAGTCAGTGTGGTGTTGCCCCAGGGTATTTGAATCTGGTTTTGAGCTGCACTTTCCCCTCCCATTTGAGAAAATGGGGAGCGAATGCTAGAAGATAATAATAATAATAATAATAATAATAATAATAATAATAATAATAATAATAATAATGCTTTTGATT